AATATCCCCATACTTTTATTTTAACCCAAGTCAAGTCCTCCATGCATCGCATCTATAAACCGCTCACAACTCACTCATCGCGACTATTTTCCACCTCTCGATTCATCATGGGAGACGCAATCATCAAGCGCAATCCTCACCCGGATTTTAACAAGGTCGAGGCTTCGAGACCCGAGCTGGATGCCAAGTCTCAGTTTCGCTACACCAAGACTGTTGATGCCGATTGGACTTTTGGTGAGGGTGCGAATAAGTTGGCCAAGGATGATGGCGATAAGAAACATGTCACCATAGATCCTCATGAGGAGGGTCGCCCTGCGGGGTTCAACTACAAGCTTCTCATCTCCGCTATTGTACCTCGTCCTATCGCTTTCGTGAGCAGTCAAGCTCCCGACGGCACAAAGAAGAACCTCGCTCCGTTCAGTTACTTCAACATGATGAGCCACGACCCGCCCATGTTTGTTGTTGGTTTCGCCTCTGGACTCGCCAATGCGAAGGATACACTTCGCAATGTTCACGACTCCGGCGAGTGTGTTATCAACATCATCTCAGAGCACTTCATCGAAGCCGCAAATTCAGCTAGCGTCAACGCTCCTCCTGATGTATCCGAGTGGGATATCTCAGGCCTAACACCCAAGTACGACTGTGAGACCGTCAAGTGTGCTCGAGTGAGCGAGGCCATTGTCAGCATTGAGTGCAAGCTCGACATGCTCAAGGAGTTTGACAGCGAGGCACGACCTGGAAACAAGTCTGGCTGCATGGCCGTTTTCGAGGGAACCCGCTTCTGGGTTCGAGAAGATGCGTTGAATGAGGATAAGAATATGGTTGATCCTGGTGTTTTGAAGCCAGTCAGCCGATTAGGAGGAATCACATATGCCAGGGTTACTGAGGCGTTTGAGATCCCCAGAACAGATTTTGATAAGGACGTTGGTGGCCAAGAGGGAGTCGAAAAGATACAGAAGCAAAAAAACTAGGTCAGACGTGGTATATTTCATTCATGACCAAACACCAAATATATAGAATAAACAAGCCCGCAAATAAGCCTTAATAACAAAATGGCAATCATGCAAAACAATTCCCTAGGAGTCATACATGCCCACCTTTCATTCCCTGAGCTATACTCATAAACCAAACCGTCGCCTCATATAAGCAAAATGTGTAACAAACATAATCCCAAACGGTAGCACAAGCCCACAGAGCTTATAGCCAGGTGCTATAGAACAAAAGAAATCAATATATGGCCAAATGCCGGAGAAAGCAAAAGAAAATCAAACGCTGGTAAATGAAGTGCTCAGAGATAGATGCTCTGACCAGAATGAGAGATGATAAATTCGCATCCCAAGGGCGACTCAGTTTCGCTATCAAAATTGTGCAGTTGTTTCAGAATAGTGTTTCCAACGTTAGGTCCATCATCCAGCCGATCCTTGACATGAATGATGACAACCTTGAGACCTTCAAGAGGCCGTTTTATCTTGGGCACAGATGTGAAGGAATCAGATGGGTTGAGCGTCAACTCAGCCGTTGGCGAAGCGAGGTGCGGTGTAGGAGGCGTTTCAATACCAGGGTGAACGTAATCCGGCGTCGAAGCCTTGATGGTCCTGGGAGACACGGGGTCTTCAGATGTGAGATTCGCGATAGAAGGATTTCGTCGTGGAGTCTCGTCAGTCGTGCTGCCCATGCGCTTGCGCTTCTTAGGTTCGGAATAATGCGACTTGCGTTCGACTTCGACCTCATGCGCCAGTGCACGCAGCTCCTCCATGACATAACGGGGCTTCAGGTGTCCGTACAGACGATCCTCGGCCTGCGACTCGTCGTAGCTGCACTCGATAAAGATAGCCTTGAGGTTACCAGAGGCGATCTTTGGTGCAGCTTGCTGCCAGATATGCAGATTCCGCGGGCTTAGCGATATGCTATCAGGCTCAACGTCCCCGAAGATCAGGACTTCGCGGTGGGTGGTGGGGTCCTGGATGAAGTAGGCACTCGAGTTGTAAACACAAATTTGCTCCTGTTCTGATGCATTCGTTACAGGGCTGAAGCTGTTTTGGGGGATCATGAGGGACCCTCGATGTAGTGAAATAGACCCCGGGTAGTAAGATGATGAGCGCGCGATGGGGCCCTGTGGCATAGATGCATCATGGCTGCTGAAGCGAGTAGATGCACTTGATGTTGAGCCTCGGTGACTATGCTTCTCGAGGCAATGGCCATGGCTTACGCTCCAAACCTTGATAAGCAGTCCGTCTGCAACTTCGATGTAACCCCTACTTTCACCGTCGCCGAGTGTTGGACTACCACCCTCAACCAATCGCATATAAGTCACCAGACCAGCTCCGTTGTTCTCATCACTCAGGTTTGGCCATATCACATTGTTGAAGATATGATTCTTGAAAGCCTGGATTGTGCTTGGTAGAGCAGCCAGTTTCTTTGGCCTTGTGCCTGGGAAGCCAGCAGTATTGACTACAAAGCCCGAGATGTGATCAAGATGAGGGTGAGTGATGAGATATGTGTCGACGAGAGAGCGAGTGATGTGAGATGCATTAGCAGAAGGTGACGAGTAAGGTAGTTCAAGACCTGCAAAGGGGCCAGTGGTGAGTGTGAAGGGAGGAGGTGGTGGCGGAGAAGGTATCGATTCTTCCATGATACGTGTGATGGCAGAGAGATGAACGCCAGCGTCGACGGCGACGATAGAGCCACGATGCCATTTTTGGGCAACAGAACGGACTAGAAAAGCAGTGGTGTTTGATTCTTGAGGACCACCTCCTGAGCCCTGTGATAGAAGGTTAGTTAGAGTTCAACTGAATAGTTCATATGAGTGAGTGAGTATGTGGAACATGGCAGTGAGAAGCCGAACTGTGGAAAAATAGTATGAGAACGAGGCAAGACAAAAGCCACCACGAATCACGGCATGATCCAAAGTGTTTGTTGTGTTTCTAGCCGTCATGCACCAAAGCCGTTCTTATATCACGGGTGAACCTCAGCGGGTGTTGGTTTTTGGAGATGTAACGGTGCACATGTAAACAAATAAGGGACGGGGATAGGCTGTTTGTTAACCGTTGATGATACGTACCAATACAATCACCTGCAAAGCAGGCTTGACTTCGGCTCCCATGATTTACTTTTGTGAGAGTAGAGAGAAAGTAGAGAAAAGAATAGAAATGAGAGAGGAGGAGAGGGAGAGAGAGAGAGAATTGAGCGACGACTGTTGGCTCGACTCGGCCGATTTGATGCCTGCCCTGGAATCTGGGATGTGGATGTGGAGGTGCAGGGGGAGAGGCCCTGGAGAGAGGTCGCAGTGGAGGGAGGCGGGATGAGATGGTAGGTAGGTATGGTTTAGGTACTAAGTCACCCCACTAAAAGGCCTGTAAGGTACCGCCTGAAAGGTTCAAGCTGCAAAGTAAAAACGGTGGACCTGTTCCTGTTGCGCGCCGTCTCAGTCCGTCACTGGCTTTGGAGTTTATAGTCGCTAGTAGAATAAGTCAGGACCCGACACTACAAATTCCGGAATGAGAGATGGATGGATGGATCCAAGGCAGGTAGGTAGTTGATCTACGAACCTGAAGCTGTTTGTAACTTGCAGTAGCTGATTCGAGAATTAACCACTGATAGGTAAGGTAGCTCTCTGATATTCTCCGATAGATAAGGGATGCAACCCCTTCCTTGCCTGCTCTGGTATGTTTGGAATGTGTGATGCAAATACCGACAGCTCAGACGAGCAATTGGAGAAACCCGAAAAATAATAAAAAGGGAAAAAGGTATGCCACACGTGATTGGATTTATCGTTGCGCTGTAGAACGTTGCGTGTTCACTCAATGCCGTGTGCAACCAAGGCTGATATAGTAAGTAGGTAGACTATGCCAATACGGTAGAGGGAACACTACCCTTTGTATTAAAGGCTCTTTGTGAACGGTCCGAGTATCGGGTCAAGTCTCTTTGTTTCTTCAACAATAACGACACCATGATCGTGGGATCTCTCTTTCAAGCCACAAGCTATAGGCGACAAGACGCACGGCTCAGCTCAAGGTCCAGCCCTGATCTTCAAAGACATCCAAGCCAAGCCAAGTCAAGTCAAGTCAAGGACAATCAATCGTCTATCTGATCAGGCAAAAAGGGTCCAAGCTTCAACAAAGAACCTCGAGCTCCCCCAAGCTCAGCTCGCCCGTTTTAGCAGTGACGTTGTCCCCATCTTGGTGGGGGAAGAAGGGAACGACCCGTTGAGAGGGGAGGGGTCGGGGGGTACGGGAACGCCGATGCAGGCTTACAAGCTAAACAAGGTTGAGGGCTGCTAGGTCTAGGTCAGATCTGCGGCCTTGTAGCTGAGCCGGCATCTGAGTTGTGAGTTGTTCGATATTCCTCTTTTGGTGGCGGAGAACGGGACTCGAGAGGGTGGCATGCCTAGAGAGGAGAGTTGCATTTCGGCGAGTGCGAGAACAACATGTCGTGTGCTATTCTGAAGCTCATGTCTCTTGTCTTTGGGACATATTCTTCACCTTCTTTGTTCAGTCTGTTCAGTTCTACAAGTGGCAGGATCATGAATATCGCTCTGCGTCGCCATACCCTGCCAAGCGGGATCAGAGCAAGGATCAACGTGGTCAAGTTCAGTCTATCGACAGGCGATATTCGGCGAGAGCGAAGCTATACCAGCACATCCCCCTCCAGTACATACATACATACATAGGTAGTTGGCAACGAAACCTAAGACCCGCATCCTGGCTGGGTTAGCCAACACTGCCGCTCTCACTCAGGTTTGTGTGAGCATCACCTCTGATCCCCCTCTCATCTTCCGGGCAACCATGAACGCCTCCTCCTTCCGAGGCCAGGTCGCCCAGCTGTTGTCTCGTTCGAGTTTCTCTAAGGATACTGTATCGTTCTAATAATCCATCCTCCACTCTTTCCATTCATCCCAGAGCGACGTATCTTTTCCCCTCCCAACATGTATGCCCGTTCATTACCCATCTCCGTCCCATAGCTTGGACTTCAAGTGTATCAGGCAGTAAGCTGTCAACCCTCTACTCCGACAAAGCCCTGATCGCCTGGATTTGTTCCAGAACGCTTGATCGACTGGTGCCACCTTTAGATGATTTTGCATCGACACTTGCTTCATAGTCGAAAGCCTCCACAATATCTGCTGTAAACCGAGAATCAATAGCTTGTAGTTGTTCAAGGCTTATCTGATCCATCGAAATCTCAAGCTTCTCAGATAGTGCAACAACACGTCCAGAGATATGATGAGCCTCTCTGAACGGACATCCGTTCCTGACTAACCACTCTGCAACATCAGTGGCAAGCATTGTCTTATCCAGAGCAGCTAGCATCCGCTCTGGAAGTACCTTCAAGGTAGAAATAACGCCATTGGCAATGCCAAGGCTGTCTGACACAGTCTGAACAGAATCAAGCATTGGGAGCCACCCTTCCTGCAGGTCCTTGTTGTAGGTCGATGGCAAGCCTTTCGTATTCTGCAAAGAGTTAGTAGTTACTCCCAACACACTTCTTAAGCCAAGGCAACTAGCTGAGATGCTAATATGAAGACTTACCATCATCAACCCAGCCATTTGCCCAAAGGCACGTCCGGCCTTGCCACGTAGAAGCTAGAGAACTTGAGTCAGCTGCAATTCAAGTGGAAATAACAAAGAAATAAGAATGCTTACCTCGCAAGAATCTGGATTATGCTTGTTGGGCATCAGGGACGAGCCTGTGCTATAAGCGTCGGCCAGTCGTAGGAACCGGAATTCTGAGGTCGACCAATTAATGAGATCCTCAGCCCACCTGCTAATGTGGTTTGTGAACATCGAGTTCCAGACCAGGAACTCAATAATAAAATCGCGGTCACCTGAGGTATTCATAGAGTTCATGGTTATTCCGCTAAACCCAAGCTCCTCAGCTATGGCATCCCGATCAATCTTGAACGCATTGCCAGCTAAAGCACCACAGCCAAGTGGACTTAGATTTACCCGTTCAAAGACTTGGCGTAGCCGCTCAAGATCCTGCTTAAACGCAGCAGCATATGACATCAGCCAGTGACTCCATCTAACAGGCTGGGCGCGCTGCATGTGAGTGTATCCAGGCATCAGATAGTCACTAGGGCCATCAGTTAGTAACGAGTCCGCATATGGGCCAAAGTGTGGCTAGACTCACATTTCAGACTCAGCACGCGAGGCGAGGACCATAAGAAAGGCAACAAGCTGGCTGTCAATCTCACGGATCCTATCGCGAAGCCACATGCGCATGTCACAGACGACTTGCTCATTACGGCTACGGCCTGTGTGCAGCTTGCCAGCGGTATCCTTGCCAATGATTTCTCCTAGGCGACGTTCGTTCGCTGTATGGATCTAGTTCAATGTATTAGTCTCAGAAAGTCATACGGAATTGAGTGGCCTCCTACATCTTCGTCATTGGGCATGATAGCAAAAGCTCCTGACTTCCATTCTTCCATCACCTTGAGCAGACCCTGCTCAATCGCCTGGAATTCGGTTTCGGTAAGAATGCCAATCTTGAGGTTCGCTCTAGCAAAAGCAATCGATCCTAGAATATCTTCTCTATAAAGAGCCTTGTCGTACCCAATGGAGGCATTGTACTTGTGCATGAGAGGGTCAATTGCACCTGTGCACCAACAGGTATAGGTCAGAATACTGTATCAAAGCTAGCTTCGGAGATGTTCGAACCTGTGAACCTGCCACCCCAGAGCATACCAGTTTCCGCTGGCTGCGCCTGTTTCTCAGCCATCTTGAAGAAGAAAAAAGTCCGTGAATGACGTTCGCTGCGTTGGTTGTGTTTTCGAGGTCGAGGTCGTCGAGGGCGGGGGGCGCGGGGTCCTTGAGGTTAAAAAGTTGGTTGAGGACGGATTACTCACAGCAAAATTAAATTTTGAGTGGCCGACACCGGCGACGTTCAGATGAGACAGTGCTAGTGAAAGGTGCTATTTCTTAAGTATAACATATACCTTTTTAAACGTAGTTAACTATATCAAAATACATATATAATATAATACATATACAAAACAATATAACACACGCGCGCGCAGGGCTTATTTCATTGAAAGCTATTGGGAATTCTGACCGCCAGACTTTAGAATCTGGGGTGCTATAACGTGACGGGAGGCTTGTGACGGCCAAGGTACCTAAAATAGGAGCATTGTAGGGAGTAACTACTACCTGTAGGCACTCGTGAGTAAAACAATGCCAAGCACTCAGCTCAGGTTTTGATCGATCACCTTGACTCACCCCCAGATCAAGGTCCCTAGGTTGTGCTCAGGTTAATGCAGCGCCAGCTCAGGCTTTGCGCTAAAATCGGACTTGAGAGGCACGAATTTTCGGTATAGAGCCTTTTGTGATGATGATCAAAGCCCTCTCTCTACACAACATCCTCAGACCAAGACCAATTCTCTCAACATGTTCATGATCACTTGACTTCATTCACTGCAACTCATAGCTCCCTCGTTGATTCATGTATACAATTTGATTCTCTAATGCTAAAACAGGAAGGTCATCATAAACTCCAAACTCCGGACTGAATACTAAGCCAAGTCTAATGCACTGATTGCTATGCTATGCTGCTATCCTGAACCATGTTGAATGGGGTATTGAAAAAGCACGATATGTCCCATGGCTCTATAGATTTTGACCCGTATTCTCTAAACCCAATAAAAACTCCATAATCTGTGTAGTCCGCTGACCAGCAGGGATATCGTACTATTACATCCACTCCATGACTCTAACAACCTTCGATAGTCCTTGATCTAGCAACCTGCTGCCTCAAGTCTTCTTCTTAAGGCTCACTCGGCTGCTTCTCCTCAAAGGTGAGGCCTGAGCTTCTTCGCCAGAGCCACCAGACCCCTCTTGAGAGGGTTTGTCCTTTGCTGATCGGGCGGGAGTCGAGCCGAAAAGACTGGCGTCGCTCCCCGAAGCAGCTCTCTGGGCTTCTGGTGTAGATGGCAGAGCCAGGGATTCTTTTCTAGTGGTCTCAGGCAACACTAAGCCAGAGGCTTGCGTCTTTGCTGGGGAAGTGGTGGCCTTGGTCTCGACCTGAATAGAGTCACGAATGTTCCCAGCCGAGAAGCGTGGGCTTCGTCGTAGGGGCGAGACGGGCTGATCTTTGCGACCAGCCTCTGCTTTGGAACTCGGTTGCGCAACGTCCTCCTGCTCTAGGAGGACACTGGGGGATAGAATATCACTGATTGATATTCTTTGGGCCCCTGCGGCAGGCTGAGACCACTTTGAGCTATCCTCGAGCTTCAATGGCTGCTTCTCCTTCTTCGCCTCGGGCACGAGTTTGTTATAATCAAACTCATAGTTGTTGGCAACGGCAATGCTCGACAGCACATCGCTGAAGTTCTTTGTCGAGCCATGTGGTGTCAGTTCCGCAGACTTTTGTGTAGAAAGAAGTCCATTGGAGGTCGCCGGAATATGCAACTGCTCAGGCTCAGGCACAGAAGCACGAGAATGCTTCGACGATCTCTTCTTCCTGGAAGCAGTGTCGCGAGCGGCCCAGAAGTCGAGGCGGCCCAGGTGAACGTCAATGGTCTTCAACTCGCTTTCTGGCCTATCCTTGTTGCGACCACCGCGACTCCTATGACGAGCACCGACTTGATGATCCAGATGGTGCTTGACAAGCGCGTAGGAGAGAGACTCCTCGTAGTTCGAGTAAGGAGCTTGTAGTGGTTGACCTGCACGCATTTTGAACCAAGGCCTGATAGTATGCTTAACGATTGTTGTGTCAGAATCACGAGTGATGGCCATTTTGTTCGACTTTTCCTTAATGAGATGCTCGTCGTCACGATCATCTGGCACCATCTTCCCATTTGCCATCACCTCTACAGGGTCGATGCACTGCTCGAAGCACCAAAGGTGCATAACACCAGCCATCTTGAAAGGATCCTTCTGACCACACGAAGTATGCTGATAAAACTCGTCGAACGCCACGCGGCACCAGCCAGGTCGAATCGTGTGGTTTGCATCAGGGCAGTTCTCGTATCGACAGATGGTGTCAGCATCGATAGTTCGTTCTGTGCACTGCGCTGGATTTTGTTGGATCCATAGCCTTGGATTCCGAGGACAGTTGTAGATATAGTCCTTCAAGTCCTCGGCCGAGAATAGAATCTTCTTCTCCAACTGTCCTGTGGGCAGGTACAGGAATTTAAATCTTCTGCGCGAGACCCAGTCCAATTCCGGGAAGCGGAACATTCCATACATCTTGATTCCAATCTCGAAATCCTTATCCCTTCCACGTTTAGTCTTTAGGGTTCGCCCCTTTCTACCGGGCTTCCTCTGGGGAACTTCCAGGTCGGAGTCTTCATCGTCGTCAAATGCAACATTTCGCTTTCGCTTAGGAGGTGTCTGCAACCAAATTGGCCGTCCATCTGGTTCTTGGGATGGTTCTTGCTGAATCCTTTGTTGAGGTGGCCGACGAGCCTGGTGAGCTGCCTGTGAAAAGCATGGGCCAGGGTGAGGGTCCTGACGACAATCCGCGCATTTACTCACTTGGATTATGTTGTGCATAGACTGAGTTTTGATTGCGACTGGAGATTGAAGGGGATACTGCGCCATAGCCTGAGGGCCGTAGATCCCTTGGATACCATTGTCCGGATAACGATAACTAGGTTGATAGGAATTGTAGGCGTTGTAATTGGGCGGAATGTGCCTGGTTTGGATTAGCTGGTGCTTCTTAGAAGTTATACCAGGGTATAATACGTACGAGTTTCTTTGTCCACGAGTGTTAAAGAGTGGAAATTGATCACTTGGTGCGAGATCCACGCTTTGAGAACCTCTACTGGAGGCCGCGTTCTTCACTACAGGCACGCTGGGTAGTGCCAAAGGCTGATGAACTGGTTGGGGCTGCTGCGCCAAAGATGTCTTTGGCATGGGAACTGGGTCCTGTAGCTGATGAGGCTTTGGAGCTCCCATGTCGTTGGGCATATTCGACATGAAGTTTAGATCGAATGTGGCGGGAGTGTCGGCGGTCGACACAAGTCTAGGATCAATGGGAAGCTGAGCGTCTTCCTGGACTTTATTCGGAGCCACGTCCTGGAGTTCTCCAAAGTCGAACGAGTTGATATAATCTTCAGATGATAACGGTACGTTGAAAAGTGCGTCGTAATTGTACTCATCACCCATACCATTCAAAACCTGTTGGTTGATATCTGATATAGTGTTGCCCAAATACTCAGGGGCAGAACTGTACAGGTTGTCCATCTGGAAACGTCCTGAAACTTGCCGGGTTCTGCTAGGTTTTATTCAGATCTTGTTAGAACTGGCGAGGTGGTATCGATATGCGTTGTTGCCAGATCTGAGGAGTTGTTCAAGCTGTGCTGAAGAGCGTTCAGGAGTAGAGAGTTGCTTGGGTGAGAACGAAGAGTGAACTAAGGAAACGAGTCTGTGGCATCCTTTATATTACTACAAGATAGTTTAGATACAGTAAGAGCTGGAACAGCACATTGCTGAAATAGCACATTGTCTTGGTTCTGGGCTTTGTTCAATGCGAAAGAACGAGACCCCGAACATGAGAAAATCACAAAAGATAGGTGGTTGTTAGTTGAACAAGGACGTGTCCTCTAGTGAGGAGAGGGTGTGTTCAACTGTTCAACCGCCTTTGTCTGAAGGAGACCCGACTCGAAGACCCGAACAAAAAAAGAACAAACCAGGAAAGTCGAAGCTTTGAAGCCAGATTCCATTTTGGTTTCTGTATTCTATCACTTTAGATCCTGAGGCCTTGTTAGTGCTGGAACTCTGAAATAGAACAAGTGCCAAAGAGAAGTAGAAGGGGTTCGGTCAGATTAAAAACATGTTTTTCTACACAAGTGTTCAGAACAGGTCTGTGTTATGTGTGTCTCATCATACAGAAATAAAACTTCGATGAAAGAAATAAACAATAGACATACCATATGATTAGGTCACGAAGCAAATTCGATGCGAATGAAAATCTGTGGTGAGCACGCAGGTAAATCAATTGCGATTTAGCAAATGTCGAGGTTCCCATTAGTCAAGCTGACCCAGACAACACATGGCTTCATGGTGTCTAGAGAATATCTCAGGATGGCCCAAGTGGCCTGAAGTTCGCTGGAGTCGAGTTGTTGTTGTTGAAGTGGAAGGTATGTTGGATCGTGAGGGTAGTAAAATGAGAGGAAATTTTGAAATCGCGAGAGGAAGAGGTGTAATGTGGACCCGGAGGTTCGGACCACCGACATCCGATCTTGGAATAGCTTACCCTACATCTGAGCTCTGCAGGATCTCAGTAGCGTGAAATGAGACTGGAGATCTAGTATTTGCATAGCTGTTGTTATCGTGGTGGTCTCTCAGGGAGAGAAGATCCGAGTTCATCCATTCTTGGCTTGGCTTTGTGATGGTTGATTCGATGCGGTCTATCAAAAGCCAACCTGTGTTTCTTAAAATAGAATACCCCATACAGAAAGCAATAGCTATGCACGAGATGTGGCCAAGAGAATGACATATCTAACGGCGCGCATTTCCTAAAAGGATATTAGATTCAGTTATACGACACTGACTAAAGCACCGAGCCTGCCGAATACCACGATTGCGACCCCATTGAGAAGAAGAGCATCAGTTCAAGGATATGCATCTTGCTTTCTGCAACCAACGCCACGCTAAAACAGTGACCAGCCACTAAATTTAGCGGCCAACATAGGCTTGGAGCTGCAAGAGAGGAGGGGCAGCGGGAGGATGAACCCGCCAGGGACCGTATTCTCAACTAAAAAAACTGGTTAGAATGGTGATACAGCCAAAACAGTCCAGGGGCACCCCGCCCTTTGATCCAACGGGCCCTGTCACAGAACCAATAAGAGCAATCTCTTGCCCGCCCTCCAAGGCTTGAGTTGAGACTACGTCACGAGACTCTGCTATCCCGTCGGGTCCCTTCAACTGGACGGCCTGGCACTGGACCTGTGAGACTCAGGTCCGTGGCTAACCTCAAATAAACCCACCAAACTTCATCCTTACAGCGGTCACATTGCCCGACACCGCCATCATGGCTGAAGTCAATCCAGAGCTTCAAGAACGCCTTGAAGAGTTGGATCGCGAGCTTGAGGTATGTAAATTGCCACTTGGTTGTACCTTTGTCCCAATTATTGGCTTGGGCGCTTCGGCACGCCATTGGAGCTGGGTTCAAGGCCATTTGTTGATGTCGCATGCGATCAACAATCATCCTCTTGATATATCATGGCTAACTTTGAGTCTGTAGGAAGGTGATATTACACAGAAGGGGCAAGTAACTCTGCGACTCAGGCATTAACCTTTACCGTTCAAACTAACGCGCCCAAAGCTACCAGAAGCGACGAACTCAGCTCTTCTCTCAATTCCTCGGTTCCCCTCCGCCTCAAATTGCTGCTCTCGCCGAACCTCAGTCTGGCCTACGCATACACTCTCCCGATGACTCGGCCCATCCTTCAGGCGATGGTCACCGCGCCGCTGCATATGCCTCTCTTGGTGCCAGCAGCGGCCCGATCCCCGATACACCAGACTCACCTATATACCGACCACATTCTGGCTATGCCCCGTCTTCAGAATCACCGAGACCTCCACCGGAGCAGGCCCCGGCCTCGCTTTTGCGACCAGGAGGCCCCATGGCTGCGGGAGCAACGGCTGCCCACCGAGACTCCCTCTTCTTCTCCCCCTCGCACGTCGTTGAGCCTGAAACCCGAACAGGTACTATGATGTCGGGGGACTATGCTTTCAGACCAGAGCAGCAAGGCGCATACCCTGATCAACAGTATCAACAACAGCAACAGTATCAACAACAACCGCAGCAGCAACCTGATGGGCGAACCACCACGCTACTCGATTCGCAAGGGTATTTCTCGGACTTCGCGGGACAGCAGCATTATGATCAGGGCCAAACTATTGAGTATGGAGGACCTCAGCAGCGATACTCTTCCAGCGATGCCTTTTCTCCTACTGCCGCCATGGCGCCGCCAATGCTTACAACCAACGATCTCCCGCCTCCCGAGGCTCTCGAATACCAACTACCACTAGACCCCCGCGAGGTCCCCTTCGCTATTCAAGATCCTCATGACGATTCGACGCCAATGTCAAAGTTCGATAATATCGCCGCTGTTCTTAGACATAGAGGCCGAACAATCGCCAAGAAACCAGCATATTGGGTGTTGGACAGCAAGGGCAAGGAGATTGCATCGATTACGTGGGACAAGCTGGCGTCCAGAGCCGAGAAAGTAGCACAAGTTATTAGAGACAAGAGCTCTTTATACCGTGGCGATCGAGTTGCGCTTATTTACCGCGATTCTGAAGTCATTGACTTTGCAATTGCCTTGCTGGGATGCTTCATCGCTGGAGTTGTTGCTGTACCCATCAACGACTTGCAGGACTACCAACGCTTGAACCACATTCTTACCACAACACAAGCCCATCTGGCCCTAACCACCGACAACAACCTCAAAGCCTTCCAGCGAGATATCACAGCTCAAAAGTTGACATGGCCAAAGGGTGTCGAATGGTGGAAGACGAACGAGTTCGGTAGTTATCACCCTAAGAAGAAGGATGACGTCCCGCCCTTGGTCGTCCCCGATCTGGCTTATATCGAGTTTTCGAGAGCACCAACAGGAGATTTGAGAGGCGTTGTTCTCAGCCACCGAACCATCATGCATCAAATGGCTTGTCTTAGCGCCATCATCTCTACAATTCCAGGCAACGGTCCAGGAGATACCTTCAATCCGTCTTTGCGGGATAAGAACGGCCGACTGATTGGTGGTGGCGCAAGTAGCGAGATCCTGGTCTCATACCTTGACCCTCGTCAAGGCATTGGCATGATTCTGAGCGTGCTGCTGACGGTGTATGGTGGCCATACTACTGTTTGGTTCGACAACAAAGCCGTCGATGTTCCTGGACTCTACGCCCATCTCCTTACAAAGTATAAATCGACCATCATGATCGCAGACTACCCTGGCCTCAAACGAGCCGCTTATAATTACCAGCAAGAGCCATTGATAACCAGAAATTTCAAGAAGGGAATGGAACCAAACTTCCAGATGATCAAACTCTGCTTGATCGATACTCTGACGGTAGATAGCCAGTTTCATGAAGTTCTCGCTGATCGATGGCTCAGACCACTGAGAAACCCTCGTGCTCGCGAGGTTGTTGCTCCTATGCTCTGTCTGCCTGAGCATGGAGGTATGGTTATTAGTGTGCGTGATTGGTTGGGAGGAGAAGAACGCATGGGCTGCCCCTTGAAGCTCGATTTAGAAGACGAAACAGATTCAGATGGCGAAGAGAAGGAAGAAACCGAGAAGCCTACAATTTCCAATGGCTTTGGCAGCCTTCTGAGTGGCGGAGGCACCACCACAACGGAAGAAATAGCAAAGAAAGAGCTTGGAGAGGTTCTTTTGGACCGCGAGGCTCTAAAAACGAATGAAGTTGTGGTTGTGGCCATTGGAAACGAGGCCCGGAAGAGGGTGGCGGAAGATCCAAGATTGGTTCGAGTTGGTGCCTTTGGATATCCCATACCAGATGCCACACTCTGTGTTGTCGATCCCGAAACAGGTTTACTGGCTTCACCCCACTCTGTGGGTGAGATCTGGGTAGACTCTCCCTCTCTATCTGGTGGTTTCTGGGCACAGCCAAAGAACACTGAGCTCATTTTCCACGCCCGCCCTTACAAGTTCGACCCAGGTGACCCCACGCCCCAGCCTGTGGAACCTGAGTTCCTTCGAACGGGCTTGTTGGGTACCGTTATTGAGGGTAAAATCTTTGTTCTAGGCCTCTACGAAGACCGCATTCGACAAAAGGTTGAGTGGGTCGAGCATGGGCACGAACTGGCCGAATACCGCTATTTCTTTGTTCAACATATCGTTGTGAGCATAGTCAAGAATGTTCCAAAGATCTACGACTGTTCAGCATTTGACGTCTTTGTCAACGATGAACACCTGCCAGTTGTGGTATTGGAATCGGCAGCCGCCTCGACGGCACCGTTGACCTCTGGAGGGCCTCCACGACAGCCGGATACTGCCCTCCTGGAGTCGTTGGCCGAGCGTTGTATGGAGGTTCTCATTGCAGAGCATCATCTTAGACTGTACTGCGTTATGATCACAGCACCGAATACGTTGCCACGTGTTGTCAAGAATGGACGACGCGAAATTGGAAACATGCTCTGTCGCCGAGAATTTGATCTCGGCAACCTTCCCTGCGTGCACGTCAAGTTTGGCGTGGAACATGCAGTTCTTAACCTT